TATATATATATATACTTAAACAATCTTATTTAGACATGCATATATGTTTACATATGTATATACAGACAATAATTTTCTCAATATTAATATATGCACTGATAAGTATGGCATATACTTACATGCATATTTTTATATAATTATGATTAAATTTACTATTTTGATTCAAAAGTTATTTAGTTTTTTCTTCTTTAATCATTTCTTAATATCTTTACTAATGAATTTTTAAATACTTATATCTATGCTATCAACTTTGATAAAGTACATCTATATGGGTGGATGTAAATATTGTACTGGTTAGCTTTTGCACAATAATTATTGGTGACCAAACTGCTCACAACTGAGTGGCTTATAGTAGGAAGCATTTATTTCCATGTTTACAGATGCCCATGTTAACAATGATCTCACTGATAAAGGCAGGGCTCAGCTGGATGATTCTGCTGCAGGTTGCTGCACTTGTCTCCATCCTATGGATTACGTTTGATCTGGGGCCATGGCTGAAGTGCAGTGAGGACCCATGGCACAACATTCTGATGAAAAATGGCGGTAACAAAGCCCCCGAATCAAGCTGCACAGTATCAAAAGATAAAATTACAAAAAAAATTAATTTAAAGATCTCACTTAGCCTTTATTTGCGATTCTAGAATTGGGCAAAACCACATTCTATAAAACAGAATGAGTGTTCTGATGAGCTGTAAAGCGGTGGTTGGTTTCATAAAAAGTAAAAAGGTGAGGAAAGCAGAAACAGAGAACAGAAAGTGGATTTTCAGTTTCAAAGTTACTCTCCTAGTAAAGGTGAAAGCAGGGGGAACTTTCTTATAAAGGGTAGGTAAGCTACTTAGATTCAGCTTGGTGATGAGGAACTTTAGCATGACAAACTCCATTTTGGTTTGATCTGCTGAGCTCTTCATGCAGGAGCTCAGTCCAAACAAATGACCTCCTATAAACTTTAACAACAGGCATATTTAAATCCAGTAATCTCTAACACCAGTGCACAAATCTCAATTTTTTTGTATTCATCTTGGTAATTCCTATAGTTTCTAAAATCATTTGTTCCATTTTTTATCAAGCTATTTGATCATTCAATAGGCAAATAATTATGTTTTCAACCTTTAATCTTAAAAATGTTTCCAATGTAATTTTGCATTTATTGGAAAATAAAGCTGGGTGAGTTTCCAACAAGCAGCTTTTAAGAAATTTCTGAAATGGTCAAAATAGGAAAAAAATTCTAAAAGAACAAAATATGTTTTAGCTGAAGTAAATATCCCCTAAAACATAGCATCTTACACCTTTGATAAAACCCCTGCTATCCCGTTACAATGCAAATTCTCCTTCAGTTGGTCTTAGCTGGGTCTGCTGTGTTGATATGTAACAAGCTCACAGTGATCTCAATGATGTTGCTGACTTCAGGACAGAGTTTGAGTAGCAGGCTTTTCTATGTAAAAGAAAAATAACATCACATGCACATTTTATATTTTGTTTGTGTTTTCTTATTAGCCAGGATAGACTTTTTATTTGTTTTTCAAACAATTTTTATGTATTTCATGCAAGTTCCTCATTGTTCTGTGTCCTTTAGGATTTAAGTAAGTTTTGTTGCTATGATCCCATACTTGCTGATAATACTAAGAAGCACATCTGAGTGTATTTTAGTTCAATCGCTAACTAAAAAAAATTCTAAGATTTGAAGAGATAGTGACCATATTGAGAAGTCAGCTATTGATTCCCCAATATCAGCATAATTTCTAGAAGCACATTTCTCAAAACCACTTTCCCTTCTTTGGTTTTCTGTAGAGTTGCTCAATGAGGTGAGCTCCATGAGATTAGAGAATCAAAAGAGGAGAACCCAGTTCTTTCCGTCAGCACCTTTAGCCAGACACAAGGACAGAGGTGAGGATTGGAGAGTCACGTGGTGAGGCTCTGCAGGCAGCTGAGAGCATCAGCACCCCCATGCCTGGGCTTCCCAGACAGGACTGAGGAGCCGACACCTTCAGTGGCAGGTGCGCTGTGGCTGCTGGGGGAGCACCAGAGTATGCCCTGTGTCTAGGATCAGCTTTCCTTACTTGCACACCTCGTGCTCTGTAAGATTGTGGTGTAGACTCTAATTCCCTCTATTTAAACAATTCTTGCTTGGAGTATCCAGAGTGACTTCTCTACTGCTGTTTGAATCCCAACTGCTGCTGTAACTCAGACTTATCAGTGTATAAACTCTGTCCTTAATGAAATCAAGAGAGACATTTTCAAGTGTGTGGTGTGGAGCAGAGGAGGAGAAAGAGAATTAGGCTGCAGAAGAGCCTTCCTGGTCCCTTCTATCACAACCTAAAAATGACCTTCAAAGTGTGCCTGCTTCTCAGAAATGCTCTCAGCAGATGAAGGAACCAGAAGAAGCAGATGGGGCAGCCTCACACATCTGCTACCCTGTGGGGTTTATGTTATGACTTGTAACACTGTGGGAGGGTTATTATAAAACTGTTGACAATAATAAGTTGCAATATCTTCAGCCTCCAGGCTGCTGACGGTGAGAGTGAAATCTGTCCCAGATCTACTGTTGAGAGTGAAATCTGTCCCAGATCTACTGTCACTGAACCTCGAGGAGACCCCAGTGTACAAACTTGATGCTGCATAGATTAGAAGCTTAGGAGCTTTTCCTGGTTTCTGCTGATACCAGCTTAATGAACTGCCAATGCTCTGACTGGCCTGGCAAGCGATGGCGACTGAGTCTCCTACAGATGCAGACAGGGAGGATGGAGACTGTGTTATCTGGATGTCACATCTGGCACCTGAGATTGGAAATACAAAGACAAATATCCACATAATTAACCATGTTACAAGAGGACTTCCCTGAAGAGCGAGGCAGCACTGACCACACTGGTTGTGTAAATTCCTGGTGTTCTTTCTCCTTACCTGGGAGCCAGAGCAGCAGGAGCCCCAGGAGCTGAATGGGCGCCCTCATGTCTGTGCTGTGTCCTGACTGGGACTGACTCCTGCACAAGGTTTGAGCAGCCTATGAATAAGTCTTCAGGACAGTGGGCTGTGCTCTGGGAGCTTGCAAATCACAGGTGCTGGGGCAGGGTTGGGCACAGCAGCAGGGCTGACTCATCTCAGTAACACCACAGGCGAGTGTCTGCAGGTGTGCCCCGTCAGAACAGGTCAGCTCAGAAGATGGTGTTTCTATCTTGGGGATGATATTATTACAAAAGATATTTTTGAGACAATTGTCAATGTTTGAAATGGACCTAATGACTTGAGAGAAAAAAGTATTTTATAGTGTTTTGGAGATTCCTTAGGAGATTTTTTTTTTTTTTTTTTTGTAGAGAATACTTAGTAAAGTCTTAGAGGGTGAGACTCTCTGTTCTTGAACTTATTCTCAAATTGATCCAGTGTAGAAAAGATACTTTATGCTGTACTTAAAACACTTCTGTGCTGTTTTATCTATTTTTAGGTAAGAAAGAACATCTATCTCAATCATTCTTAAATATATGTAAAAGCATTTTATATTGGCCCTAAACCATTATTATCTAAATTTAGTCAAGTAATTTACTGCAGAGACATAAAGATAATACCATGTTTCCTCAATGCATATGTCACTCAGAAAAATCCACCATTATTCAAAGTATAACTCTTTTTAATACCCAAGGCCTAAATGGGCTGCTCTTCATTCTTATTTGGGGGTCTCTTATAGTCTATCCCCTGTTTTGCAACTTGATATTTTCCCCCTTGATTCAATAGTATGTTGGGCTGACTAGTAATGCCACATATGATGGTTTCAATAAAAATCACTGTTTCTGCTTCCAAATGTAGTACTCAGGATTAGGGTAAATGTGAAACCCTGGATCAGCCTAGTCTTCCTAGGAACAATTCTCTCCCAACTGGGACAACCGAGGTCACATCACTGGGTATTGCTTTGAGCTGTTCTCCCTACAGGCATGGTCCTGGGGCTCTGGTGCACTTGCCCTGAGCCTGGCTTTCTGAAGGGTAGGTGATGGGGGAGGCTTTGGGGGAGAGGAGAGTTTATTAAGCCTTCTCTCCTATGGAAGGGTGTCTGCTGCTCAATGCATGTCCATTCTGTGCACCATAAATGGCACTTTTCTCTTTTACTCTTTAGCAGTGAGTGGGGACATTATTCTGAGTAAGACCAGGCTCCCTGTTTGCCACTCCAGTGGAGAGAGTCAGCATTTCCTGTCAATACAGATCCGAATACAAGAAGTACCTTGGGTCTTGACTAAACATGGACAGGACCAAACCCCTTATAGGCATGTTTTATGTTTCCCCAAACATGTTCAGCAGCAGGGGAAGTGAAACTCACTACATAGTCAGTGTCAGTGTCTTGGAGCCCAGGGACTCTGAAGAGTGATGCATGACTGCAGGTGGCCAAGACACTGCAGGGCAGCCTGTGCACAAACATCCTCTTCCATGTCTCACGGCCTGAATTTCAAGGGAACTCACTTGCAGCCAGCCTGCGAGGATCTCGTTCTCGAAAGATGCACGCACATAGGAGCTTCAGATTGAAGGTTCACATCTTTTCTCTGAGTAGATGTAGGAGTCACTGTTGGTCCCCTCAGCCATTCCCCTTCACTACATTTCTGCTGAGTGTACAGGATATTGACTAAGAAGTGATTATTGAGATAGAAATGAAACACATGTATTTCACAGAACCAACGTCCTTAGCTTAGGAGGCAACAGCCAAAACCCTTTAGAAAAACATGTAAGAATGTTAAGATTGAGAAAGACCAGAAAACTTTCATAGGACTAAAGCCTTTGATGTAGATAAGAGAATTGAAGCAGAAGGGGTATTGTTCTGGGGGCAGTAGCCCTTAGTTCAGGTAAACTTAAATGATGGGAAAGTATGTAAGCTAACATCTTCAAGGATATTCTGTTAGATTAGTTAGTGCCTGGGGGATGTTCTACATCTCGGTTTAGGCTGTTTCTTTGAATATCTTAGGGATTTATGTGCTTTGGTGATTATCTCATTGTTTTTCTTTGCACATCACATAGCTTAGTTTTATGACTCCTATTGATCATAAATTGCTTGAACTATTTTAAGTTATACATGCTTAAATGAAGTTTGTCAAGTAGCCAGTTTATGTTTTCACTGTGATTGATTAACCATCTGTTTTTCTTCTGTAACTTTCTTGTCTTTATAACAAAAGCTGAAGCAAAAACTGACTCAGGGCTGTGACTGGTCTCTCCTCTCTTGATGGAGTTTCCTTGGTGCAGTCCCTTCGGGATTATCATTGCTCTTAACACCAGGGCATTGAGTAATCTTTTGTATCTCTGTCTCTCCACGAGAGGTGACAGCTGTCTTCTAAAGACCATGTCTGTTCCTCACTGCTGTCTCTGAAGCTGAGGAAGGCAGTGCTGTCTGTGCACGCAGCAGACCACAGGCCCAGAAAGGGCATCCTCTGGGACAGCCCTCAATCACTGATGACAGGAGGGGTGTGCACATACCCCAGCTCCCTCAGACTTCATGGGGAATAGCTGGAGGAATTTTCCTGTGTATCCACATGGACCTGAGGAACAGTCCTCCTCAGCGCTGGCTGACTTGCTGATGTGCCTTTCTCTGTCCATCTTCTCTTCCCTGTCTCTCTTTTCTTCTTCTCTCCTAGTGATTCCTGCACCTTGTGAATATAATGCCTGCAGGGGAATCCTTGCCACTGGTGGACCCAACCTAAGGCAGTGGACCAATTTTTACTCTCAGAGGGTCTAAATTCTTTCCACTTCTTCTTGATGTGTAAGAAAATTTAGACAATTTAAGACATGTTGACTTTAATTTAACAATCTCTCTTTGATGATATTTAAGAAGTAATTCTTTTCTTATAGGTCACAAAATCAAAGGAGTTTAAAAAATATCTATGCACTGTGAAGTCACCTTTAGACATTAGAGGTAGGTGAATAAGAACCCCTCCCCCCAAAACCCACAGATCACAGGAACCCAAGTCTCAGATTTCTTCCATCTCTATTGCTCATAAATCCGTCCTGGGATTTTTTATTCTACATTAGCCGGGACAGTTGTATGGACAATGACAATTGTTACTGAGATGAATAACACCCTCACACCAGAAGATATCTATGTCCTAATCTTTGAATTCTATGAATGCTACCTTCTGTGGCAAAAGGAACTTGTTCGATATGATTAATTTAAAATTTCTCAGATCAGGAGATAAATTTGAATTATCCTGTTGAGACCAATGTAATGGCAACAGCCCTTATATGAGGGAGAAAGTAGGGTCACAGTCAGAGAGAAGATGCACAATGGAAATGGGTGTTGGAGTGATGGCAGGAAGGGGCTGTGGAGCAAGGAATGTGGGGCAGGGGCAGCAGACAGCTGTGAATTTCACAACATCCTGGTTTTGTCTTTCCTCATTTTTTATGTTTTTTTTTTTTTTTGTCTCATCCATGGTATGAACATGGCCACAAGGAAGGAGCATAGTTAAGGTCAGACAGACCTGGTTCAAATCCCAGTCTCAGCACTTGCTGACCGTGTGACTGTGGACAAACCGCCTCTGCTCTGATAAAGGTTTCCTCACCTGTGAAATGGGGCATTATCTTGGGGTGTCCTGAGGGTTTAACCAGATGAGGCACTATGAAGTATATATAAACACATGTATATGCGGAGAAGCGCACCTGGTCCCCTTTAATGTCCCCTTGAATATCTTAGTATGAAGACGTTAGGTAATGTACCACTAGCTGCTGTCATTTTCAACTCAAAGTCAACAATATTTATTCTACAACTAACAGCTGCCTCTCCGTAGGGTTTCATGTGCATTTTCTCCACCATGAAGCTTCCACCATTCCATTCATGTGTAGCTATAGAAAGTTGAACAAGAAACTACCACAGCTCCCTTAGTCTGGGTTTTCCCTGACCTCTATCTGTGTTAGTGTTTTGTTGTTTGTTTTGTTTTGTTAGGTATGGTAAAACATGAATTGGGTGTCGTTAAACAACACTAATGTATTCTCTCACTGTTCTGGATGCCAGTTTCACAATAAGTTTCTCTGGGCCAAGATCAAGGTGTTGGCGGGGTAGGTTCCATCCAGAAGTTTTAGCGGAGAATCTGTTACTTGCCTCTTCCACCTTCTGGTGGCTTCAACTTTCCTTGGCTGTGGCAATATCACTCTAATCGCTGTCTCTGTGTTTCCACTGCCATCTCCTTTGCTGTCTCCATCATCACAAGGACACTTTTGATGGCATTTAGGGCCCACAGAAAATCCAAAACAATTTCACCCTTTTAAGAGCCTTACTTAACTTCAGGAAAGGCCCTTTTCTTTTATAAGGTAACACTTGCAGGTTTGGAGAACAGAATATGATATTTGGGGGAGGGGCATCCTCAGTGTTTTAGACCAGCACAGGAGCAACTCTCTCTGTACACACCCCCACTGCCTCCCAAATCACTTCGCCTCCCTAAGTGCATCCAGGGCCAACTACATCCGGGTTCTGAGGAGCACATATGGGAGGATTTGCTTAGGGTTTGCTTAAAGACCTACTGAGTTAGTCACTATCAGGCACAAAGAAGGGCACAGCCAAAGAGAGCCCTTAGCCATCTGAGAAGAAGCTGTCTCTACAGAGGACAGTTGTAGAATGTTATTCTTTGGACGTCTAAATGTCTTCAGTAGTCTGTGGTCCTCAGTCTTCATGGAAGGTATGTGTGGGCCTTGAGTAAACAGGATCTACATTCACCTCTCATTTTGACTTTTCTGTTCACTTTGAACAGTATGCTTTTGTGAAGGGACTGAGATGAGAAAATTGTTCAAAGTATAAAAAAGATTATCATTTTTTCCCTATTTTTCTTAGTTAAGTTCATGGAGCATTTTGAAATGTTTCGTATGAAAACCAATTCTGTGGACATATCTTTGCTCAGGATAGCTAAGAAATGCCTAAATTCTGAATATAATATCCAATTGTCTCAATGATCCGGCACATAAAAATAAAATGTTTGCTTAAGTGCCACTCCTGTGGTGTCA